GATATTGGTTATTTGACTGATATAAAAGATTGTATGTTTTGTAGATAGACTACACTAGACCATACAATAGCCATATACACACATAGACACCATATAACCCTCACACATACATATTGCAGTTCACACAGGCTAATGCCTATTGGTTATTTGACTGATATAAAAGATTGTATGTTTTGTAGATAGACTACACTACCATACAATAGCCATATACACACATAGACACATATAACCCTCACACATACATATTGCAGTTCACACAGGCTAATGCCTTTTTGTGCATTGTGCATAAGGCAATATAAGGGTTCTAAGACATACTTTAAATTGAAGTACCTTTCCTTCACTCTGGCTGATTTTCTGAATGATAAAATCAGCCACTTATCTACACACACATATAAATGGTTAGTACCTAGAGTGCGCTATGCCTAAATTCTATGTAACACTTATATCTTATTAGAAGTGTTTTATTATAAGAACCGGTTGTCCTCCTTGGGTATGGATCATCCAGTGTGATCATGGAGGATAAGTTGACCCTCTGGTTCGAAGTAATTAAGTTGTGTTGCTTGCTTTCAAAGAGTTGAGGATAAGCTTCAGCTTTATCAATGGTGAAGACAATTGAATTCCAAAACCCATCATCACGATTTCGAACCTTGTCTGAGTTTTTAGGTGCTTCTGGCACTATCCTGGTCTCTACTATATTTATCTGTTTTCTATGTGAGTGGCTTTTTTTTTTTTTTTGCTTCTCATACTCTTAATATGGTTGTATATATATCTGCTCCTGTTTCATCATTCTTGAATTTGCACTTATCCCACTATACATGTATGTTATTATTCAGGGAAATAGAATACAAATTTTTTTATCTTCTCTTTTAACCTGAAACTCGGGCTTTTCAGAAATATTTTTCAAAAGGTGGAGGCGTCAGTTATAGTCTCTTTTCTGTTTTCATATAAAGATATAATCCTTGAAATTCTAAGTTATTTCTAAATCTCTCTTCCAGGTGGAGGCGTCGGTTATAGTCTCTTTTCCTAATTTCTGCAAGCTTAGGGGTTTTTGTTTACTAAATGTGAAAGTTCTGCGTATTTTTAAAGGTTTGGAAAATCAAATGGGAGTGAAGGTAGAACACTGATGTCACTGTTCTGGATTGTGATTCGTCGACTAGCTGAAATCGAAGAAAGAATGGTATTTTTCTTTTATTATTATGATTAATTTTGATTTGATAATCAGGGATAATTTGATTATTTACTTTGTTTAAGAATTTGAAGTTGTAATTTGTAGCTCAAAAGTCAATTCAAAGCTCTACATATCAATATGCAAATTTTTCTGTATTGGATTTGGTAAATTGGTTGCGGCAAAGAATTGATTTTTTGTGATTGAAATCTAGAAAACACAGGGTGTTAGTCTACTCTTTATCTATGAATTATTTCTAGTTTGAGTAGAATATAGTATGTTACCTTCAACATACCAACACAGCTATACTGATCATTGAAACAGTGGGCTGCCGGTGATGAACCAATATACTATATTGTATCACCAAAGGTGTTGTCATAGCGAAACCTAGGTTACTTCCGATTCTTTATATTTTTCTTTCTTCTTGAAGATTAAACTTGTCTTTCAATGAGAAAAATAGTAGAGTAGGAAAAAGATTGTGGTTTCTATAGTACTATGCTCCAAAAAGAGTATGGTGCAGGTTGTCCCGTTGATGATTGTAGATTGTAAACAACAGTTAATTTGTTGCTCCAAATCGGGACTAATTACACCATTGAAGTTGTTTCACAGCTTCTGAATACTAGAAAAAAGTGTGATACGACAGCCTTTTCTTAGGAACATACCCAACAGTGCACGCAAAGCTTGTTGATTTTCAAAAAGAACTGTAAACTTGCAGGTCCTGAATAATTAACCTTCTATTTTCCTTATGAAGTTAACTTCTTTGTTGGTACTAACACAGTTCTAGAGTTTATGCTTGTGAGTTGTTTGACTGATTTGTAATCTTTTGTATTCATCTAAGATGGTGTTATTTAATCAGTTTATTGAATGTAGGTTGTGGAGAATAATCCCAAATACTGGGAAGTTATGTCAACAACACTTGCTGTGGGTTGGCTAGATATCGTGGTATGTGTCTGACAGACTAATGTGGTTTTATAGCTTAATAAAATTATGAAAGCATGTTAGGTTCTTTTTTTTAGTGGAATTTTATGATTGGATGCAGTTTTATATTTTGATTATCATCATGAAGGTTGCCCATGCCATAGAGTTGTTGACTGCTGGGACTGACCATGCAGAAATGTGTTGTTAACTTTTTTAACGTAAGATATAATGGATTATCTCAAGACCTATTGCGACGTTTGTGGAAAAAACGCCGCTAAATCTCAACACCTATTGCGGCGTTTTTGGGAAAAACGCCGCTAAATCTCAACACCTATTGCGGCGTTTGTTGGAAAAATGCCGCCAAATATCAACACCTATTGCGGCGTTTTTTGTTACCAAACGTCGCGAACTTTAGCGACGCTATTTGCAGCGGTGTTTTTTGCGGCGTTTGTCATAGCGCCGCAGGTGGTTTTTGCGGCGCTTAAAAATGCCGCTATAGGTAAAAAAACGCCGCAAATGTACAGTTTTGCTGTAGTGTCAGTTAGCAAGGTCTAGTCTCTCAGTTTCAATGAATCCCATCTTTCCTCCTCCACCGCCAATATCACACCCCTCCACCACTGCAAATGAGATCCGCGCTGGTCTTCCATTAAAGCAGCCACTAACCTCTCTTCCGGCGGAAACCTCCGCCTCCATCACTTCAAGCTCATTCGCCATTTGGATACTGAAAACCTCGACCAGGTATTCCTCTGTTGCACCTTAGAGGTTGCAACAATGTCACCCTCATTGTAAAAGTGATCGACAGGGATACAATGCCGCTTCGATTTCCAGCTTAAGCTCCAGATTTGCTGCCTTTGGTGAAGAGAGGGAAAGAGAAAGGGGAAGAATAGAAAGGAAGAGAGGGAAAGAAATCATTTTCATTTTCAAAAATTATTTTTAAATATTAAAAAATATGTGACATTTAATGTCAAAATTAATGGTCTCTCATTGTCTTATTCAAATTGAGTTACAGAATAAAATGTTAATAATCAAATTAAAACGAATAAAAAACGTTATACACCAAATTAAAGAAAACATACATTGAGCATTTTTTTTACGTTTAAGCCTATTGAAAATTATTGTTTCGCATGTTTGTCGTGTCATACTTGTATTCCTTATTTGTATCCTTCCTTCATAATGTATTACTTATTTACACGAATTGATCCAAACTAAATTACGGAATGAAACTTTAGGTTCTAAACTAAAACAAAAAAAACGTTAAGTACCAAATTAAAAAAAATAAACACCTTTTTTACGTTTAAGCCTTTGTAATGTATTACCTATTTACACGAACTGAAGCACAATAAAATTATGGGAAAAAACGAGGGAAAAAGGGAAAGAAGAGCGTTCTTTTACAGCTGATGGAGGTGTGAAAATACTCCCAAAGATAGATCCCACATAAACAAATTGAAAAACACAAATTTTTATTTTAAAAAAAAGAGTAAAAGAACGATGAACTTGCAATTGATAGACCATGCATTTTTCATTATTAGTTTATTAATATATAATTTAATTATTAAAACGAACCAAAACTAATCATTTACATACTAACAACACAGTTTATCCTATTTTTTTAAAATGTGAAGAAATTGTTATTACTAATAAAATTATATATTAATAAACTAATAATGAAAAATGTCATGTCAAAAAATTATTAATAAATAAATTAAAGTGACTAAAATAGGAATAATTATTGTTAGCATTTGTAACATTTGCAAATAATTTTATATTTGAATGAATGTTCGCCAACAAACAGTGGGTGATAACCATCTGTTGTAATTTTATATTTTAAATTATTTTTATATTAAATAGTAATAAAAAAGCCAAAACATAAAATAATAATATTAATAAAATAATTCAAAGTGACTAAAACAACAATTCAAAAGTTCATTGAGCAAATTGAAATTTTAAAAGTACAGTGAGTGAAATAGGAGAGAGAATAAAATTCAATAAGGAATAGTGCAGTTTACCCAATTGTATATTATTTACTTTTTGTTATTTATAAGTTATATTTACAGCCAATAAACAACTTTGGTGATAAAAGAATTGTTGATATTCCTTAAAGTTTTAAGTTTGAGCATCAAGAATGTCGGGGGTGTGAGCGTTTAATGTAAAATGATTGAGAGTTATCTTTAAACATACATTATCTTGTACTTACTCAAATTAATAAAAAAAAAAGTTATATTAAGGTTTGAAATGATGTTTTAAACTATTTGTAAGCCTTCAAACATTTCAAATTTTATTATTTGATCCCTAAATAACATTTCATCCTTATAATATTGTTTATTAAAGATGTATATGATCCTTTAAAGCCTAAATTAAGATAAATGATACTTGAATCAAAGATTATAAAGCCTTTGTTGCCTCTTGTGTGATTATTTAGTCATTGTAATTTCATATTCAAACCGACTCTTCTTTACACGATCCAAGCGATTTTAATGGTTAAGACTTAAGGGATTTGTTGTTATCATTAAGTTATCGGATTCGAGCACTGCGTATGCTAGAGTACGAGAGTTTATTATTAAATAGTTGAGAATATTTTAACATAAAAACTACCGTGTATTCGCCCAAGATTAAAAAACAAATACTCTTTTCTTTCGATTGTTATTGGTTTGGGCTTGCGCTGCTTGATTCTACTTCGTATGTGCTCTTAAGCTGTGGATCAGTTTCGTAAGGTTGTTAAAGAAAGATAATAAACAGAAACAAGGTGTAACCTATGACTTAATATGATCGGCTAACTCAAAAATCCATGTTCTTGATCGTAGGTACTGCGGTTGACAAAACACTCTTTCTTTAGTTCCATGCACATTGTAATAGGTGGAATTCATATTCATTTGGCTACTAGTTACTTTTTTTTTACCTATAAATAGCTGAGTACCATCTTCGTTTGAGTTCAAGTTGTAGATCAAAATTATCCCTCCTGAATTGCATTGTGAAAATGGAAACCCCGGTGAAGTACATCTGCGTTCTTGCGTTTCTTGTGAGTATGACCATTGCAGGGTTCCATGGAGTCGAAGGAACTGCTTATTATTATGGTCCCTGTGGGAAACACGACATCGAGAAGGAGGCCGAGAAGTTGGAACCCTGTACATACGCAGCACAGCATCGGAGAGTCCCGGTTTCAGAGCGTTGCTGCACCGTAATGGAGAAAAAGGTGAAGAATCCAGCCTGCCTATGCGCGGTTCTGTATTCTCAAAAAGCATACAATGCGGGAGTGAGGCCTGAAATCGCAGTGACCATTCCGAAACGCTGCAACATTGTTGATCGCCCTGTTGGCTACCAGTGTGGAGGTACAATTCGCATTTTGCGTTACATTTACTCCACATATGGTGTTAGTTTGAATATTCTAATGCAGTTTTTGCTTATTTGTTGCAGCTTTCACTCTTCCTTAACTCTCAAGACTCCCCATTGCGTGGTATCAACAGCATAAACATGCGGGATTGCCTGTAAAATCCAGCATTTATAAGTGAAATAAAATCTGTTGATGTATCTTTGAATAACAAGTAAAAAAGTGGTGGTATTTCTTTGAATAATAATAAACAGAAGTGCACTTGTCTTTGTAAATCGTCTGCTTCTAATCGGATAGACCGTGTGCTTGAATACAACGGTGTTGGCAGTAGCAAGGTCTGTACAGTGGCCACACATATCCGAAACAATGCCAATTGGTTTTAAAAACGACGTTAGATGCATCACCGTCACCCTCCATGGTGTCCGCCACGGCTGTTTTGGTTTCACCACCGTAAGAACTGCTACGTACCATTGTCATAATTAAAACCGAAACACATATTCACAATAACTCGATTATGACTACACTCACCTAATCTTAACTTTCAAAATATTGGAATATTGCAGGACTTGTTTCAAGATGCAAGGAAAGAGTTCTTTAATTCATTGTTTCGTTCACAAAAAGTCTCCTCAACACAGTATACAATACTGTTTTTATACACAGCCTTAGCAACACAGAAAACCTCCTAACTGACTAACAAACTCATAACAACCTAGCTTCTAGACTAACTTCTAGAACCTGGACATGCATGAGCTGCATGCATATGCATGGCATTACACAAGCACACTTTTTATCCACGTGAGCCTGCATCATTCTCTCAACATTCTCCCTGCTTTCTCAACCTTCTTGATGAAAAGATGAACAATTGAATCGAAAGTGCTGACGCTTCCTTCCGTTCACTTGAATCGAAAGTGCCGGTGCTTCCTTTCGTTCTTCTTGAATCGAAAGTGCCGATGCTTCCTTCCGTTCACTTTGAATCGAAAGTGCTGATGCTTCTTTCGTTCTTCTTATTCACCTTCATTTCTTTATTCTTCACCCTCTTTTACAAGGTTTCTTGACATATTTTTTTATGGACTCTTGGCTGTGAAACTTTCAAGTTCCATGACACTTTGAGATAGAAGCAACAAAATGAATACAAAATTAAACACACAAAAGAATTATACTACTATGTAGAAATAGCGGTGCAATAAGAGAAAAATCTAGCTTTGTCCACTGGAACACCCATTGCACGATAAGCCAAGTGTCTGCCATCAGGGAGCTGGATTCGACTTGCGCTAGGAGGATGAACAAGTACTTTCTTTACTGGTGGTGCCGATATATCATGCGCACCATTCAAATTTAGAGCTGAAAGTGCAAGGATGAAAACAAAGAAGATAACAGGCCAAGCGTGAATAGGATCATGTTCCTGAGGCAAGAACTCATTCAAGAAATTCAACCGACTGGAGACCTTAGCCACGGGTTCACCAAGCTTCTGAACTATAAACGAATCCTCAGTAACTTTCGATTCCAAAAACTCCTTCACTTGTTCCGTTTGCTGCAAAACATCTCTACATCCTCTTCCAAGCTCTAGAATCATCTCGCACCATGATTTTAACAATTCCTTCACGTGTTCCTTCAAGGCCTCCGGCGGTTCGATTTCATGATCACTCTCAGCAACCGCCGTCGGTTTCTGATCAGTGAACGGCGGTAACGACGGGAAAATTATTTCCTCAATGTATATTATCCTCGGATCTTCCACCAAACTTTCCAGCTCCTCCCGCCACGCGTCCAATCCTCTCACTTCTGCAATGAAATCGAAAACCTTCTCCAAGAATTCAACGGAATTCGCTGGATCCAAGCTGGTAGTGAACGACACCGGTTTAGCAACCGTTGCCACTGCCAAAGATGCCGAAGGCATTTTCTCCTCCTCTTCCATGCAGCGGAAGAAAACAAAATAAAGTCAGCAAGCCATAACAGCTTCAGCGGAAGAAAAATAAACTAGGATCTTTTTGGCGAATGATACCATATTGGAATATTGCAGGACTTGTTTCAAGATGCAAGGAAAGAGATCTTTAATTCATTGTTTTGTTCACAAGAAGTCTCCTCAACACAGTATACAATACTATTTTTATACACAACCTTAGCAACATAGAAAACCTCCTAACTGACTAACAAACTCATAACAACCTAGCTTCTAGACTAACTTCTAGAACATGGACATGCATGAGCTGCATGCATATGCATGACATTACACAAGCACTCTTTATCCACGTGAGCCTGCATCATTCTCTCAACACAAAATGCCTAAAATCAATATATTAATCAAAGACTTTGACTTTGATTTTTTTATTAGAGATTTCCACCGAACCTTCTTTCTCTAGCAAGAACATTCAAAGATATATTTATCATCTAAAGTCATATTCAACGTGAACACTAAATTTTCATTAATCTAAATGAGAACAAGTTTATGATTTCACTTACATTTCGTAAAATTATGTTTAATTTAAGGTTCAAACCAATAAATTAGGGTTAATAGAATGCATTAAAAAAGCTCTCAAATGAGTTTTACTAATTTCTCGGATTAAAGATAAAAAGGAAATTTGGACCGATTATAGAGTAATAACACCTAGGTACCTTATTCTTCAAAATCTACTATCTCGGGTCAATGGTTTAACCATGAAAAGTAGTTTTTTTTCCCGTTTCTCTCTTATTTTCATTTAAGTGCCAAAACTTTCAATGTTCATATTTTAGCTCCTAAAGTTTCAATGTTTACCTTTTAACCTCAATAAACTTTCAATTTTTACATTTTAGTCTTCAATTACAAATCAAATTAAAGTATATTCCAATCGAACTGATTTATCTCCATTAGACACGCATGCAAGAGCTTGAAACAATCAAATTTATTCATTATATTTTAATTATCATATTTTATAATGTTTTACCTTCTTTTTCATGTTATTTAAAAGGTTTAATTGTCAAAATGGTGTCCCATGTATGTTTTGTTTTCTAGTTTGGTGCCTAACGCTTCATTTCGTAACTCAATTTAGGTTAAGACGCGACGGACGGGTTAATTTCGGCTGTTAAATGACACATGACATTTGTTTAATATTAAAAATTAATTTTTTAATTAAAATAATAAGAAATTGATTAATGAAAATTGAAAATTAAAAATTTAAAAACCTTTTAACTTTTTACCCTTTAACCCTAAACCTAGTAACTTATCCCATGTTTGTTTGAAGCTTCCTCTGTCCTTAATTTTCTCTCCACAGTCGAAACTCTTCTCTTCCTTGATTACCTCTCGCAGTGGGTATTCGAATGAGGTATTTCCTTATTAGGCGACTGCCATCGAGGTTGACGAACAATCACTCTCACAATCTAGAACAAAAAAGTCCAAGAAGAGGATCTTAATGAGGCAATGGAACCAGTAAAACGAAATCCTTGAACAAAACATGAGAATTTGCAAGTCAAAATCCAACTTTTCCAATAGAAATCAAACAAGATTCCACCTTTACTTGCCTATTTCCCATCTGGCTATAATCCTTGCAAAACCCAACAAGAGGAATGAGGAGCCAACGAACCCAAGGTCAAAGTTTTTAGAAACATGGCTCAGAGAAAGAGTAATAGGCTTCAGGTTGTGGTTAGCCCTGCTGGGTCGAATGTCAATGTTGTAGGATCGAGTTATACGGGTGCGGCTGCTGCTACATGATAGAAAACTCAATTAACATGGAAAACTGATCATTGTTGTTGATGATAGAGTACAAGAACACTGCATATCTTTATATACAAGAAATGATGAATGTATAACGGCTATAACAGTTATAACATAACATCTATTATACTTCAACTAACTAACTAACTGAGCTCACTGAATATAACTAAGACAATACACAATGCATGCTCATGATTTACTCCATCCAATATGCTCCCTGCTCCTTCCGTCTTCAACTTATTTTAACGAAACAACACCCAACCTTTGTCTAAACACATGAAAGTAATATATTTTGACAATGCCTTAGTTAAACCATCTGCTACCTGATGTGAAGATGGTACATAGTTCCCCTTCAATCTGTTTGTTGCCACCTTCTCTCTCACGAAATGCACATCCAACTCCACATGCTTAGCTTTAGCATGGTAAATTGGATTAGCGCTCATAGATATGGCACTGGAATTATCACACCAGATAACAGGTGTGCCTTGTAGCTCAATCCCCTTACTATCAAGCAATGCAGCTACCCATTTAGTATTAGAAGACACATCAACCAAACTCATGTACTCAGCTTCAGTTGTGGACATGGATACAGTTTTTTGTTTCTTGGAGTTCCACACGATTAGATTGCCAGCAAGATAAAAGCAATTACCTGAGATTGATTGTCATCCATGCTTCATGCCCAATCTACATCTGCAAATGTAGTAAGCTAAAATGGTGATTCATTTCGTGACAAAACTCCATGATCCAAGGTGCCATTCAAGTATCTGAGAACTTATTTCACAGCAGACAAGTGTTGCTCACACGGTGCATGCATGAACTGAGCCAATTTGTTGACACTATATGCTATGTCTGGCCTTGTGTGACATGCATACAATAATGACCCTACAAGACTTTTGTGCTTGTTTGGATCAGTAAGAGGACTACCAGCTTCTTTGGTCAACTTGAGGGATGAGACCATTGGCGTGGGTATCGATGTTGCTT